CCGGAGGAGTTCTCACCTACATCGTCCACATGGGACGACTCGGGAACTCAACTCCTACCCCGGGCAGCTCACCTATCCCCTTATGCCCAGGGGAAGGGTATCAAGCCGTTTGACAGCTGATGCTAGCTGTCAAAACGGCTTTTACGCTGAAACAGGCGGGAGGCAGCAGCAGCTGCGTCCGACGAGGTCGCCTGCCACTGGAAGTCCCTTAAACTGACCTTTTCCAATCCTGTGGCCACTGTTGACTTTTCCAAATTTGCTGGCAAATTGAGTGTAGCACTTTTACTGCATCGTCTTTTAAGAATTTGAATAGCTCAGCTGGAATACTGTCACCTCCACTAGCTTTGTTGTTCAGATTTCCTAAGTCCCATTTCACTTCACATGCTAGGATGTTTGGCTCGAGATCAGTGACCACCCCATCGTGGTTATCAGGGATGCTAAGCTTGTTCTTGTATAGTTCTTCTGTGTAAATTTGCCACCTCTTCTTAATCTCTTCTGCCTCTGTTAGGTCCCTGCCATTTTGGTCCTTTATCATGCCCATCTTTGCATGAAACGTTCCCTTCATATCTCCCAATTTTCTTGAAGAGATCTCTGGTTCTCCCTATTCTATTGTTTTCTTCTATTTCTTTGCACTGTTCATTTAAGAGGGCATTCTTATCTCTTCTAGCTATTCTCTGGAATTCTGCATTCAGTTGGGTGTATCTTTCTCTTTCTACCTTGCCTTTCGCTTTCCTTCTTTCCTCAGCTATTTGCAAAGCTTCCTCAGACAGCCATTTTGCTTTCTTGCATTTCTTTTTCTTTGGGATGGTTTTAGTTGCTATCTCTTGTACAATGTTGCGAACCTCTGTCCATAGTTCTTCAGGCACTCTGTCTATCAGATCTAATTCCTTAAATCTATTTGTCACCTCTACTGTATATTCATCAGGGATATGATTTAGTTCATACCTGAGTGGTCTAGTGTTTTTCCCTACTTTCTTCAATTTAAGCCTACATTTTGCAAGGAGAAGCTCATGATCTGAGCCACCGTCAGCTCCTGGTCTTGTTTTTACTGACTGTATAGAGCTTCCAATCCCCAATGATGATAAGGACATCATTTTTTGGTGTTGATTCTATAAGGTGCTGTAGGGCTTCATAGAACCGGTCAATTTCATCCTCTTCAGCACTAGTGGTTAGGGCATAGATTTGAATTACTGTGATATTGAATGGTTTGCCTTGGATTCGCACTGAGATCATTCTGTCATTTTGGGGATTGTATCCCAGTATTGCTTTTCCTACTCTTTTATTGACTATGAAGGCTACTCCATTTCTTCTGAGAGATTCTTGCCCGCAGTAGTATACCTGATGGTCCTCTGAATTAAATTCACCCATTCCTGTCCATTTAAGTTCACTGATTCCTAAGATGTTGATGTTCAGTCCTGTCATCTCTTGTTTGACCACGTCCAGCTTGCCTTGATTCATTGATCTTATATTCCAGGTTCCTATGGAGAATAGATCTTTACAGCATCAGACTTTCCTTTCACCACCAGATGCATCCACAGCTGAGTGTCCTTTCGGCTTTGGCCCACTCGCTTCACTCTTTCTGGCGCTACTAGTACTAGCCCTCTGCTCTTCCTCAGTAGCATATTGGATACCTTCTGACCTGAGGGGCTCATCTTCCAAAAATATAGATACATTACCTATAAAACCTGATCTCATTAACTAAACTTATTAAGCCTACTACTAATCTAGTTTACTTGCTAATTTATAATCCTTTGTTGAGTGTATATCAGAGTAAGAAAAATAACACTGGCATACAGTATTAAAATAGAGAAAACATAGAATTTTGACTTGTTAAACTTGCTGATAGTTTCAGTCCACAAGGCACTTATGCTTTTGTAAGGCTTCATAGCAAAAACTCACAGCTTCTGCCAAATATTAAGGGCTGTATTCTTCAGTAATAGCTGAAAAGGATTAAATTTTGTGTACCACCCTTAAATTTTGTGTACTACCCTTTAGTGTCTGCTTGCTCATAGAAAGAAGAGCTTAGAAAAATCTGAACCATAGATTCTATCATTGTAGATCACAGTAGGAAACCAAAGTCATGAATGTTAATATAGTACAGGTAGTCCTCGAATTATGACCACAATTGGGATTAGGATTGCAGTAGTAAATTGGTGATGTTGTAAAATGAGATGTTATGTGATTGCACCAATTTATGACAGCAATCCCCGGACTCTTAGTTGTTAACCAAGAATCATTAGATCATTAAGTAAGTACTTACCCCAATCCAAGCCATTCTGGGTTTGGTCCTACCCAGCCCCATGCCTTGATAAAGTAAGGAACTGCTTCCAACTGCCTCCTCCATACCTGTTTCCATACCCATTTCTTCCCTTTTACTGCTTTGCACCCTACTATGCAGGGTGGCGAGCAAGGCTGCATGACTCTGGGGTTGCTTGCCATGCCCTTGAAAGTCACAGCTGCCCCAACCAAGTCTCAGGCACCTTCACCATCTGCACTCTGACGTCCTTGTCACTCTGCACTTCACTGCCCTAGCATACCTTCATCATCTTTGTACTTCCACTACCCTTTGGCAAAAAGTAAGCCAATAAAACAATATTTTTGCATATATTTGGCAAAAGCAAGCCACTTTGCATCCAACAAAAGCATGCTAACAAAATATCCCCTTTGTGCCATACTGTTAAGTTGGGGCAAGACTACCTGACATACTGGATCAGCAGCTGCTTGTTGCTTGCTTCCTTCCTTGCTTCCTTGCTTCTTACTTCTGCTTCTTGTGGTGCTCGAGGAAATCCAGCACTAGCCTGGGCATTAGCCTGGATAGCTTTTGTACAAAGGGGCTTCAGCAATGGGAATAAGAACACAGTGAAGATAAGCTGGGGTTGTGGAGCACAGGACAGCAGGGAAGTAAGAGGGCATAGAGGGAAGAGAGATAAGTGGAAAATTAGAGTCCTGTAGTTGTAAGTGTGGGGCTGGTTGCCAAGAGCATGAATTTTCATTGCATGACTGCAGTGGGCACTGCAGTGGCAATAACTTTAAGCAAGGATTGTAAGTCCATTTTTTCATCAGAGTCATAATTTTGAACGGTGGCTGAAAGAATGGTCATAATTCGAGGACTACCAATGCTACCTTCATTTTAAGATTATAATAACGGAATCTTAAAAGCCTGACTGTGTTACCTCCCCTCTCCCTTTACTTTTGTTGAGCAAAGGAGGGTCTATCTGAGGCACTTGCTTGGATTAATGTTCTGCCTCAGACTCAGATTCTTTTTTTTATTTATTTGATCATGGCCTTAGTAAGTGGTTCTTTCATGGTCGTTCTTTCCATCCATTGCAATTTTCTCCTTTCCATATTGGCATCCAGGATGACAAAGTGGAAAGACATGTTTGTAAATATAAGTTTTTGTAAACAATAGGCTGGGCACTATTAATAAATGAACAATAGAAGTTTGGTGCTTGAGTCATTTCTTTCTGGTATTCTGCATCAACTATTTTTTTAACCATATTCATGATATCATCATATACCAGGTGGCATAAATATTTAAGTGAGAAGCCAAAGGGAATGAACTTTTGCTCAATTGGCAACAAATTGCCAATTTTCTTTCCACATACAGAAGTTAATATGTTTTCTCTATTTCATTTTGAAGCTTGTATAGATCTTTCTGAATCTTTTTTTCTCTTCTAAAATGCCAGCAACTCCTACTTTTGTGTCAGTTTCAGATTTGATAATCATTTCCTCAGTGCCTTCATTTAGGTCATTAAAAATAGTCTGAACAAACAGGGATGAGAACAGAGCTGTTGTGGCTGTTTGAGTACTTTCCAATCCGATCTAGAGCTGTTTATGGTATTTTTTGGGTGTGGTCATGCTCAATACAACTTAAGCTACCAGGTCTGTATTTTACAGGTTCTTTCTTCTTCCCTTTTTTAAAGATGGGGGTTTCTTCCAGTCTCATGATATTTCACCAATTTTGTAGTATAAAACTGTAAACTGTTATAAAATCAAATATATAAAATGTAGTAGGGCTAACTAAAACTTAAAATATTTCATTAAATTTCAAGCATTAAATAAAATACTACTACTAATGTACTGTGCTAAAAATTAAATTTAACTACTTAGAGAAGCATTTTGTTCCATTGGTTAAGAAACCAGGTGAGATAAAGTTCTATCCTGCCTTTGGCATGAAAGCCAGCTGGGTGATTTTGGATCAGTCACTCTTTCTCAGCCCAACAGAGTTGTTGTGGGGAAAATAGGAGTAGAAAGGAGTAATAGGTATAATCACTGCCTTGAGTTATTTATAAAAATAATAATGGCAGGATTAAAAAATGTCTAAAAACATTTAAATCTAAAAATCAAATTGAGTAATTGGAAATTACAGTATCCTACTCCAGCATGAGCCATATGAAACAGGATTATTTTTTCAATATCTTATAAAATGTGTGCTGTTGCATGTTGTACATGTCATGATAAGGTTAGAGTGATAAAATTATAGGGAAATGCAATCCAGTGAATATTGTGAAAATAAAGAGTTGCAAATTTCTCTGTACAAAGAGAAGAGGAAGCTAGGCTTGCAACTTCAACTTGTGTGGGATTGTGCAGCCCAAATTTTCCTGAAAAGGGATCTGTCTAGTACACTTACCACATCACGTGACGTGTTGCGATGTATTGTGACTTTGTTTGCATTGCCGGAGCTGGGGTGGGCGCGGCTCCTCATGATGCAACCAGCCCGTGGCCGGCAGTTTGACACCCCTGGTCTAGTACCTTCCATAGTTAGAGGCAGATATGAAAAGTGAGTGTGAACAAAGGCCTTTCCAGGAGGATTGAGAAATTAGGCACTTCCAAACCCATATACAAAGAATGCCTCCTGAAATTATTTTGGCAACAGTATATTAGATTTGTAGTGCAATGTTTTGTAAAGTGTTACCTTTCAAGTTGTTTGATAATTATAGAATATAGCTTTAAAATATGCACAATGATTTCATAATGTATTTTATTTTTTTTCTTCAAAGGTGTTTTGAAAAAATCTGATGGTTGGGTTGGCTTGGGCTGCTGTGAATTAGCCATTGCTGTAGAATGTCGACAAGCATGTAAACAAGTAAGTGTTTGTTGGATTATTTTTTGGGGGGATGTATATGTGGTGCTAATATAAGGGAAAAAAAGCAAAATTTAACAGCACAGACTTGCGTTCTGAAACATTTCTGTTCTTCTATTTCTCCATGTTTTCTGCTACAAATTGTTTTGAGCAAAGAGCATTACAATATGTAAGTAGCTTTCACAAGATGGCTTTTTTCAGTGGATGTGTGCTTACAAAAGCAGTAAGCTACAAAAAGGGGTTAAGAAGAAGGTGTGTCCTTATGGCTTATTAATCAGAACTAGAGAATTACCTATGGCTTAATGTGTTGGATGGACCAGACATGAGGGTTGGAGTGGAGGACCTCCGTTGTTCCTTCCAACTCCAATTCTATTCTGTTTGTCTGTTATTCTTTCTATGATCATGTGTATCCATCCTGTCAAGCCCAAGAAAAGTCTGTAATAGTATAGGATCATCTGCTAGACAGGGGATTGAACTAGAAGACCCCCAAGATGCCTTCCAACTCTATTATTCTGTGTTCCATGTTCTATATAATCTGTACTCTGAGTGATTTCTGTGGAAATTTGAAATGAAACCTACAAAAATATTATTTTCAGATTCTGCTTCTGCAAATAAAAAAATAACAATTGTTCAGAAATTCCACAACATTTTAGCTTTTTCATTTTCAGTTATTTTATTTTGTGGTGCCATTAATTTTTGCTTGCAGGTGGTGGTATTTCTTGCAGATACTCTAGAGCAAGGCTTTTCAACTGGTGGTACGCATACCACTGGTGGTACATTGGCACCTGGTAGGTGGTACGTGACTCTGCCTAGCCTAGACAAGTGTAGCAGGAGGAGGGAACAAGCTAAAGCGGTGCAGCACAGGACTTGCCGTGAGAGAGTCATCAGGAGCTGCAGGGCTGCTGGGACAAGACAAAGGCCCCAGGATTGGCACTTCCGGCTTACCTGGAAGATAAAGGAGGAGGAGGGGCGAAGACAAGAGAGGCTATAAAAGGAGGCAGTTTTGGCGAGAGAGGGAGAGGGAAAAAAAAGACGCAGCCTTGGGAGGAGTCAGCTGGAGCTACACCAAAGAGAAAAGAAGGAGGGGAAGAGAGAGGAGAAGATATAAAACAGTCTGGCTGGGAGCCGATCTACCACTTCCTAGCAGCCATCCGTGCCGGCCGCACACCCAACTGGCAGCGAAAAACAGGAGAGAAACACAGATGGGGAGGTGTCACCCTCTGCGAGGAATGAAGAAAGGCAGCATTCCCTGAAGGAGATCAGCAATTAGCCCTCGCCCACTTCTGTGGGCTCCGGGGGAGGGGACATCATGAATGGAGTGAGAGTCCACATTACCTGCATGATGCCACCCAGCCCCCAGCGTGCCCAGTTTCAGCAAGCAGCAGCACACTCTCACCGTGCAGAAAGGCTGGGCCGAGTGAGGTGAAGCTCTTGAGAAGCTGAACCTGCCTGGGCATGCTCTCAGGAGGCTGCGAGCGTGCAAAAGGAAAACACTCAAAATGCGATCAGCATGTGGGTCAAAACAGTCAGCCAGGATGCCAGGCCCTGTGTGCTTGCCGCCTCCTATATGCGCACCCAAGCAGGTTCAGCTTTTCACCAGCTTCGCCTCACCCGGCCCAGCATCTCTGCGCGGTGAGAGCGCATCACTGCCTGCCTGCCGAAACTAGGCAGGCGGGGGGCTGGGTGACATTGCGCAGGTAATGTGACTCTCACTCTGCTCGTGGCATCCTCTCCCCAGAGCCCATAGAGCCAGGTGTGTGAAGTGGGCGAGGACCAATTGTTGGTCTCCTTTAGGAGATGGTGCCTTTCTTCATTCCTCACAGAGGGTGACACCTCCCCAGCTGTGTTTCTTGCCTGTTTTTCTCCCTCCTTCATCCAAATATCTTCTCATCACTCTGCTCTTAAGGCTGTACGGCTCTTGTCCAGGAATTTGCAGTGGGCTTTCAAGCTATAGTCACTGGCAGTATGGCCACTGGCCGCACTGGCAACCTCTCCCCCTCCCCTTGTCCCTTCCTGGGCACAGAGGGAGGAAGGAAGGAAGGAAGGAAGGAAGGGAGAAGGAGAAGGAGAAGGAGGAGAAAGGAGAGGGGCAGGAAAAGAGGGAGGGAAACAGGAAGGAAGGAAGGAAATATGGGAATGAGAAAGAGGGAGACAAGGAAGGAGGGAGGGAAATGGAAAGGAAGGGAAGAAAGGAAAGAGGTGGGGATGAGAAACAGGAAGGGAGGGAAACAGGATAGAAGGAAGGAGATGAGAATGAGAAGGAAAGAGGCAGGGAAGGAAGGAGGATAGGGATGGAGGGAGGGAGGGAAGGAAAGAAGGAGGGAGGGAGGGAAATTGGAATTAGATGGTCTGAGGGAAGTCCTGCCTTAGCACATGGCCGCTAGCAGCCCTGCTGCCCTTTCGCCATCCCCTTGTCTCCTCCTCCTGGCCTATCCTGATCGTCTCCCATCCTATCGCTAAAGAGGGATGGTGAGGATCCTCTGGTGGACCATGCCCTGGCGCCCACCACAGTCCCACCCCGCCACCTGAGACCCCCGGTCCACCCACAGGCACCCCCGACTTAAACAACATTGAGCTGGCCACGCCTCCCCAGCCACTGACTTTGCTTGTCAAAATGTTGCAAAAGAGGATCACATGACCCTGGGACTATCAGAAATATGAATCAGTTGCCAAGCATCCGAATGTAAATCACATGACCCTGGGGATGCTGCAACAGTCATAAGTGTGAAAAATGGTCATGTCACTTTTTTCAATGCCATTGTAACTTTGAACAGTCATTAAGCAAACTGTTGTAAGTCGAGGACTACCTGTACTTTATCACTTTTTTCCTTTTTTTTTTGGTCATCAAGTTTTTGACACCTTGCTAGGTGCCTGGTGGTACTCAAATATTGCCATATCCTAAAAGTGGTGCAATCAGTGAAAAGGTTGAAAAGTGTACCACCGGTGGTATTTTAGTACCTGGCAGGTGGTACATAACCCCTAGCCAAGTGTAGTGGGGAGGGAAAGCACTAAAGCGGTGCTGCACAGGCCTGAAGGAGATCAGCTGGAACTTCAGGGCTCAGCAGAAGCCCCAGGATCTGTGCGTGCGGCTACATGCTGATTGGAGCTTCTACCGCACCTGGAAGAGAAAAGGAGGAGGAGGCGGCAGATAGAGAAGGTATAAAAGGAGCAGGTTTTGGCAGGAGAGGGAGAGAAAAAAAAACACGGAGAAAGAGAGAATAGAAGAGGCTTTTGTTAGCGAAGTGGTAAGGAGAGAGAGAGCAAGAGGGGCCTTTCTGAGCGACAGAGGAGTGAGCGAGCGAGCAAGTGGGCAAGCGGCCTTTGGAAATGACGGCAGTGAGTGAGCAAGCAAGCAGCCTTTGGAAGCGATGGCAGTGAGAAGCAACAGTGCAGTGAATGAACGGCGAGTAAGCAAGCGGCCTTTGGAAGCAACGGGGCAGTGAGAGGGCAGTGAGTGAGAGAGAGAGAGAGAGAGAGAGAGAGAGAGAGAGAGCAAGCAGCCTTTGAAAGAGACGGAGTGAGTGAGAGACCCAAGCGAGAGGCCTTTGAAAGAGTCGAAGGAGTGAATGGGGGAGAGACCGAGCGAGAGGCCTTTGAAAGAGATGGAGGAGTGAGTGGGGGAGAGATTGAGAGACCTTTGAAAGAGACGGGGGAGTGAGTGAGTGAATGAGTGAGTGAGTGAGTGAAAGACCGAGAGGCCTTTCGAGAGCGAGCGGAGGCTTTTGCAAGCAAAGTGTGAGTGAGTGAGAGTGAGCAGATGCTTTTGCGAGCAAAGTGTGAGTGAGTGAACTAGTGGAGGCTTTTGCGAGCAAAGTGTGAGTGAGAGGGGCTTTTGCGAGTGAAAGGTGAGAGAAGAAGGGAAAAGTGAGGGGGAGAAGGGAAAAAGAAAGGAAAAGGCATTGACTTCTGACTTCCTCTGTTGCAGTAGACAGAAGCATTAACATTGAACCTCAACTTTTAACTTTTCAATAATATTATAAACTAGCCATTTCTATAACAACAAATGAATCTAACCAGTAAAACCCAACCCCCCCCCCTTTTTAGTCATCAAGTTTTTGACACCTTGCTAAGCACTGGTGGTACTCGAATATTGTCATGTCCTAAAAGTGGTACAATCGCTGAAAAGGTTGAAAAGCCCTGCTCTAGAGCACCATTATTGCCACTTTATTTGTAATCAGTCTGTGCAATCTTCTTGCAGATTATAAACAATGATATAACCCAGTTGTCAAAATAATTCACTGGAACATCTGTAAAAATTATGATGTGCTTTTTAATGAAAAATGGAGGAAAGTTGGAAAAGTAGCCAAAAATAAGTAGTTGGAAAAGTAACTGATAATGCATGGATTAAAATATTGTGGGATTTCTGAATACAGACTGACCTTGACTCATAATACACCAGATATAGCTGAGGTTGGAAAGAAAAAGGTACTGATAATTGATGTGGCAATATCAGGGAGTAATAGAATAGAAGACAAAGAATTTGAGAAGATCAGAAAGTATCAAGATCTGAAAATTAAAATTAAAAGATAATACCATAAACTTGCCGTATTGGTCCTAGTGGTTATCAGCACACTGTGTACCGTATCAAAAAACTGAGCAGCAGTTAGAAAATCTGCACATTGACAAAACTTCCATCTGTGAATTGGAAAATGCCACACTTCTTGTATCCACATATATACTACGTGGATACATTACAACATCCTAGGTTCTTCAGAAGAATTTGATGCATATGAAAGCCATCAATAGCTAAAGATTTGGCAGCTGTGACTCCATATTGCAGTGATATTGATGATATTATCTATTGAGTCATATCCAATTCTTGATGATTCTATGGACCAGGTCTTCCCATATCTTCCAATCTTGCACTGCTTCTTTGAGATTTTCTATGCTCTGGGTGATGTCAGCTTTGATGGTGTTCAGCCATCATGTTCTTTGGCAGCCTGATTTCCTTTTATCACCAATTTTTATCATCATAATTGCTTTCTTCAATGAATTTGCCTGCATGGCATAGCCAAAATAAGTGAGACACAGTTTTGTGATTTTTTTATTCCAGGGACATGTCTGATGTTATGAGTTCCAGTACTTGTTTGTTGATCATCTTTCCTGTCCATGGAATACGCAGGAGTCTTCTCCAGCACCACAGCTCAAACAAATTGATTTTCTTCCTGTCTTGCTTTTTTAAAGTCTAACTTTCACAACCATAGCTAGCTATGGGGAACACAATAAAGAGGACTAACCTACATTTAGTTGCCAAGCTTTTGTCCTTTCTTTTCTATATTTGGCTTATGTTCATCATTGCTGTGTGACCCTGTGCAATCCACTTTTTATTTTTGTACTGCATTTACCACTTTGAACGACCTACTCAAAGTGATAAATGCAGCGCAGAAATAAAGAAAGTGATTTTTTCCACATTTTTTCCACAGTTACCATCCATTTCTATTCTGATGTTTCCATTCCTTGCAATGGTCATGAGCTTGTCTTTTTGATGTTCAGAAATACCAAGATTCTCACTTTCTTTTTTGATTTTCTTGATTAGATGTTCTAGGCCTTCTTTGGTTTCTGAGAGGGGAGTTGTATAATTAGTATATCAAAGATTGTTGATGTTTCTTCCTCCAATCTTTAGCCTGAATTTTGATTTTTCAAGATCTAGTTTCCTCATGATTCATTTTGGCATAGAGCTTGAATAAGAAAAGAGAGAGAATGCAACTTTATCTATCTTAAGCCAATCGGTTCTCCATATGGTATTCACAAGGTGGTTTTCTGATTTGTGTACAGTGATTTCACCAACTTGACTAAATGTGCTATTATAGTTGTAGGATTCTACATAGCTCCTCATGATCCACCCAATGAAAGGCTTTCTTGTAGTCAATGAAACACATTTAAATGATTTTTTGATATTCACAAGTTTTTTCCATGATCCAGTGCAGATTTGCAATATGGTTGTGGGTGCTATGACCCCTTTGGAAGCTGGCTTGGACGTCTGGTAATTCCCTTTTAATGATTGGTGCTATTGTTGTAAGCAGAATGTTGCTGATGTAAGGAATGAAAGCAATTTTTGATAATTGGAGCAATTTATAGAGTTACCCTTTTTTAGCAGTGGAATGAACACTGAGCGTTTTCAATCCTCTGGTCACATACTGATTTCCTAGTTTTTCTGGCACAGGTCTCTAATGACACTGGTGATACAGGTTTCAGTAATTCTGCAGGGATAGTGTCAACACTTGGAGCCTTGTTGTTTGGCAGTTAGTTCATCACCCATATGATCTCCTCCTCAAGGATGGCCAGTTCTATTTCTACTTCTCTTTCCTTGTCATCCTGAGGATGGGCCTCTTTGGTTTCTGTGTACAGCTCTTCTGTATATTCTCTCCTATTCTTGATGCCTTGTTAGTCAGACAGTTCTTCCCCTTGCTTGTTTTTACTGATGCCTTTATGAACAATAAATGGTGCTTGTATCTTTTTGACTTGCACAAATGCATTACTCATATGACCCTTCATATAGTCTGCTTCAAGTTATTTACATCCCTCGCCCCAGTAAACTTAATTGTCCTTCCTTTGCTGTCCTCTGGAAAGTTACATTCAGTCTTCTTGCTTCTTCCCGTTTCCTTGCTGCCTTGGCTGCTTTTCTTTGTTCAGCTCTTTTGGTGGTTTCATCTGAGAGCAACTTGCAACTTGCTCTTTTTCTCTGCTTCTTATATGATATATATTCTTTTGCAATTCTAATAATAGTTGATTGAATTTCCTGCCACAGTTCATCAGGCGTCTTCTCAGTTTGACATTAATCTTTGCCAGCAACAATTCATGATTTGAGTCACAGTCAGCACTTGGATATACCTTAAGAGTAAGGACTGAAATGGTCCGTCAATAACTGCATAGAACATAGTCGATCTGATTATGGTGAAGTTCATTTGGTGAGGTCCAACTGTATAAGCAGTGGTTGTGCTGTTTGAACCATGTATTCATGGTCCTAAATCGATTTTCTTGGCAAAATTGTACAAAACACCTGCATTGTTCCTCTCACCTAGTCCAAAATGATCAGTAATGCCTGTCTCTGCAATTTTGCCAATTTTTGCATTGAAGTCACCCAAAATGTAAACAATGTCATTTTGGGGCACTTGTTTCAGAATTTCTTGGACTATGGCATAAAAGCTCTCTATTTCGAGTTCTGTTGCAGCAGTCGTTGGGACATAGACTGGAATAACTGTGATGTTGAGGGGATGGCATGAATTCTGATGGTCATAATTTGGTCATTGACAGTTGAGAAGTTTGCCACTGCTCTAGCAAGTTTCTTGCTTACGATAAACACCACTCTATTTGTTTTCCTGGTATCATGTCCTGAATAATAGACAGTGAAATCCTCAGACTGGAAAAAGTCACTGTATGACCAGTCTAGTTTACTGACACAAGGAGATCAATTTCCAGCCTCTCTCATCTCTCACTTGACAATATCTAATTTATCCTGACTCATTACTGTGGCATTCCAGGTGACCATCTGATATATCTCTGTACAACACAGACAATTGCTTACGTCACTGGCTCCCTCAACCACTAGGATTCCTTTTGTCCTATCGTTGGGGACCCTATCTGGTGTTTGAGAACCTTTCCATAGAAATTTCTTGGCAAGTTTTTGCGGAGTAGATCGCCAGGTCTTTCTCCAACCCTGTAACTCACTTTTTGACAGCTGCCCAGGGACAGCAACTGCAGCAGTGATGACCAATCCGGTATGGAATTCCTTTTCTGTTGTCTTATTATGGTAATTGCGTTGTGAATACTCTTAATCTGGCTTTTTGGTTGAGACCTGTCTGGCTTGTGTGACCCTGCTGGTATATTTTCTGGTGGTATATCTCCAGCATAGCTCTCAACCTTAACAGAACATAAGCCTCTCTCCCAGCACAAGGGGTATCTACATGGAGGGGATATTGTGAACAGACAATAATTATATAAAATTATTAATTTTTTATTGTAGCTGACATTGGGGAACCTACTGAATACTGCCTCATATTTTCCCCACAAAACAATCCTATGAAGTGGGTTGGGCTTAGAGTGAGTGACTGGCCCAAAGTCAGTCAGCCAACTTTCATACTTAAGGGAGGTCAGAGTCCTGATTCCTAGGTCAGCATCTTAACCATTGCACTGAAGTGGTTTTCAGACTCTTACTCTGTCTTATACTTTAGTTTATAACTGAAAATCTAAGAACAAAGATGAGAACCTGCAGCTCTCTGTATTTTCTTGGACCACATTCACCATTGTGCCTAATTATTCTATGGCTAGAAATATAGAAGATATGTTTTAGCAGCATATGGGGGGAGGGAGGGAATCTTATACATTGTTTATGTGTTTATTTTGTGTTGACTAGGCATCCTCTCAAGTCTCTTTCCCCTTATTTTTGTGAGTATCTGAGTTCCTAAATTCATTAGCATCTTTCAACTATTGTCTCCATCCACAAGAACTGGAAGGATTGGTTAAATTCCAAAATTTAGAATCATGTAAAGGATTTAGATTTATTGCTATAGTAGAAATATAACTGGTGACATTTTAAAATGATCACAATTCTCATCTATATACTTTCTGAATTCTGTTTTTGAATAGTCAGAAAAACATATTGATAATAAAATTTATTTTAGGCATCTTCAAAAAACGATATTTTGAAAATTTGCAGGAAAGAATATGAGGTAAGCATTTTGCAGATATTATTTTCTTCATAAGTAACTTTATTTGATATAGATTGTTTATAAAGTTTGTCTGTAGTTTGTAGAAGAAAATCATGTCATGTTTAACGCTGTTAGGTTGGCTTTTAGCAATCTGATTTGCAAATAAGTGCCAGCAGAATGAACCTGTATTTTCTCCTGCTCCTTCCTTTTTTCTTTGTAATGTTTGTTTTCTTTTTAATGTCATTATTGCACATAACCTATACACCAAGACAAACTTGATTAATGAATCATATATTCTTGTAATCTGGAAATTGTAGTCATAAATACTTGTGTGTGATCTGATGTTTATAAGCCAGTGGTTCTCAACCTATAGTCCGCACACCCCTGGCAGATTGCGATGTCATCACAAGGGGTCCGTGAAGGCTTGAAGAAATGTTATGATTGAATTCCTAATTTAAGTCTCCGGGGTCCGTGGCCATGGTCTATGACCATGAAAGGTATTTAAAGGGGAATCCATGGTAAAGAAAAGGTTGAAAATCACTGGTTATAAGCTGCTCTTTTGTATTTGATGTTTTTGAATAAGAAGGTATATTGTGATTTAAAAATCTTGCCCAAACCTGGAATGGGCTGCTTATTGGCCCTGTTCCTTCTTGTTACCAGCCATGCTAATCTTGCTCTCTCTACTACTTTGTCCAGTCTAAAAGCAACTTTTCTATGCACACCTTTCCAGGTCTTTTTTCCCTACCACTCAAGGGAAGATTATGTTCCAATCAAGGTTTCGTTAGTCTGTTGCAATAAAAATACTATAGACTTTTATTATACTGTGTTTATGGACTAGATTCTGTGTCACCGGATTTGTAGCCTGTTTTCTTAAAATAAAGCTATAAATGGCCACGGAATGAGAAATAAAAGAAATTAAACTGAGGAGCAACATGTAATGATAATTACTTTGTGAAAATGCCTTCTTACTAGATCTGAATTAGCAGAAATTGATTTATGGATCAATCTGATAGAAGGCACTCCTCATAGAGTTGTTCCAATCATGGAATTCTATCTGTGTTCATTTGCACTGGCTCTAGGTCTTGTAAATATTTAGTATCAGCTGAAAATTATTTACAGGCAGTCCTTGATTTATGACCATAATTTTTTTTTTTTTCCATATAAAATTTTTTATTATTTTCATCATAAAAAAAAAACATCACAAATATTACACAATACTATATAACAAGAAAAAAAAAACCCCCACCCGGACTTCCCGAACCTAATCCCAGGATAACATTCAAATATAAGTAAGCAAGAATTAATATCTCTAACTCCACAAAGTATATCATTCCACATGAGT